ATGATGAGGCATTATTCCTCCTACTGACACCAACAATGAGGCACTATTCCTCCCCTTACAGCTAATGAAGGGGTATTGCTTACTCCCATTGATGGCAGGGTATTTTCTACTCTTTCCAGCCACAGTCTGGCCTCCCTACAGTCCGGCCTCCCTACAGTCTGGCCTCCCTACAGTCTGGCCCCCCTACAGTCCGGCCCCCTACAGTCTGGCCCCCCCAACAGTCCGTCCTCCCTACAGTCTGAAGGACAGTAAACTGGCCCTTGGTTTGGAAATTTGGAGAGCCCAGCTCTACATTTACACCTTTCCCTGCCCTCAAGGAGCTGACAATCTAGGAACAATATGGACAGGAACTAATTCATCTACCAGCATGTCTTCGGTGTGTGGGAGGAAGCTGGAGTACCCAGAGGAAACCCACGCAGGCACAGGGAGAACATGCAAACTCCATGCAGACATCATCTTTGATGGTATTGGAATCAAGGACCCCAGCACTGCAAGATGTATGTGTTCAGCACTGTTGCTGTGCTCTGTATGTCGCACTATTCAACCTTTATTAATAAAAAGCAGAACCTGAGCTCCAGTGCAGTGACTACGCCACTATGTGTAGCATCAATATCATTTCTCCAGAAAGTTCCACCTTTATCATCAATCATTAATTCTTCAGGCTGAGATATTGGCATCACTCTGCTGCAGGCAGGAGGAAGCATTTCCTCGGTCTCCTCTCCCCCAGTGATCAGACTGTACATTGTAACTTTGCAGCAAATCACATAGTAAGAGGCTGCAGCAGGATCTGATTTTGGAAAAGCAGCCATTATATTGGTTAGTTTTACCTTATGGAAGTTATTGTTGGATCAGTTACACAGTAATCTTTCTATACATGCGGGGGTCCGGTCTCTGGGACTGTGTGTTGCCGTGCTCACAGTAGTGTGGTGGGAGTCTCCAGTGGCATAAATGGATGGTGCGGGGGTCTGGTGTCTGGGACTCTGTGTTGCCGTGCTCACAGTGGTGTGGTGGGAGTCTCCAGTGGCCATGGATAGACAGTGAGGGGGTCCGGTCTCTGGGACTCCGTGTTGCCATTCTCACAGTGGTGTGGTGGGAGTCTCCCGTAGCCATGGATGGATGGTGCGAGGGTCTGGCCTCTGGGAACAATGGTGCCAGGCAGCACCATGACGTCACTGAATCACTACACATGCGCCTGCCCGGCTGAAAATAGCCGAGCATGTCTGAGCCCAGTTCATACGCAGTTCCAAAGTCATCCCATGGCCATATTTTTTTTGGATAGTTGGCAACTCTGGTGTCACCCCTCTGGTGGGTATCACTGGGGTGTGGTCTGCATCCCCCACACCCCCATAGCAATGCCACTGCTAAGGACACGACCACCATTGCCTGTGTTAGAAAGACAGGCAGACCAAAGCTAAGCATTAGAGCTCATCACTGCAGGTCGACTTTTAAATTGATTAGGGCTCATTCACTGGAGGGGGCAGAGACAGAAAAGTACAGGTGGTTGAGCCACAATTTTACCACCCCCCAACCGTTCATCTGAACAAGGGCATGCAGCTGCTCAGGGCTGTACTCATGTTGCGGCCCCTATGCCTTGCTTCACAGCAATGGCATGCCACTCTTGGCCGGGGGTACCATCTCCAAGCCCAACCCATTCAAATGGATGAGGCTGCACCCCAACCAGGGGCGGACTGACCATTTGGAAACTAGGGCACTGCCCGAGGGCCCGGGGTCAGTAGGGGGCCCCATGAGATGCCCCTGGTACCTTTTTCATAGGCTTTTTTGAGTTTGGGCAAGGACACAGGGGCCCCATGATCCCCTATTGCCCAGGGGCCCCATGAGTTGTCAGTCCGCCCCTGCCCCCAACCACCCTGCACTGGTGTGTAATGCACGTAGTTGTGGCGTGGTGGTACGGAGGGCTAAAACAGGCGGTGGGAAAGCATATGTGAACCAGCCCAATCGGGCTCCTCCCACACACGACTGACAGGTAAGGTGGCTGGAATACCCTGCAGCATGACTGCCTACCAACATACATACCAGACAATGGCAGTTCTCCCTCTGCTCTTATAACAAGAAGGCAGCTCACTCTGTTCCAGGTTCAGTATGGGGGGGATTTACTAAAACCGGAGCGCTCAGAATTTGGTGCAGCTGTACATAGCGGCCAATCAGCTTCTACCTTCAGCTTGTTCAATTAATCCTTGATAATAAGCCCGGGTTCACACTGATGCGGTGCGGAATTCACTGATGCGGTGCGAGTTTTCTGTGTGAATTCCGCACCGCATCACAATCGCACCCCGTTCATGCGAACCTCTGCGGGTGTAAATGTTAACAACACCCCAAAAGCGGTCCTCAAAATGCGGTGTGATGAGCAGAATCGGATCCCTTAGGTGTGAATAGCCTTGCGATCCGATTCTAGTGCGTAACCAAAAAAGGGTCCTGCACCCTTTGATGCGGGTGCGGTGCGATTGGAGCCATACAAAATGTATGACTCTGATCGCACGGCACACAAATCGCATGTGATTTGTACAGGAATGCGGTGCGGTTTCCTGTGTGAATCACATGCAATATACCGCACCACATATATGTGAACTCGGGCTGAAACCTGGAAGCTGATTGGTTTCTCTGCAGAGCTGCACCAGATTTTGCACCCTCCATTTTTAGTAAATATCCCCCCCATGTGTGCATGGATACATAGGCACCAGAAAAAGTGCCTGTACATTTTTTGCAAGTTTCAAAAAGCGGTCCGCAAAACGCAGCGCGATGTGCAGAATCGGATCGCATAGGTGTGAATACCCATGCGATCCGATTCTAGTGCAGACCAAAAAAAGGGTCTTGCACCTTTTTTGGTGAAGGTGCGGTGCAATTAGAGCCAATCAAAATGTACGGCTCCAATCGCACTGCACACAAATTGCAATTTGCACAGCAATGCGGAGCGGTGCGATTCCTGTGCAAATCACATGCAATATACCGCACCGCATATATGTGAACTCGGGCTGAAACCTGGAAGATGATTGGTTTCTCTGCAGAGCTGCACCAGATTTTGCACCCTCCAGTTTTAGTAAATATCCCTCCCCCCCATGTGTGCATGGATACATAGGCACCAGAAAAAGTGCCTGTACGTTTTTGCAAGTTGCATGGATGAGCGCTCCATAGACAATAGTGGGATTCCAACTGTCGTGCATTGCCGCACAACAACCGAAGCGCAACAGATCACACAGGTATGAATGTCAACCAGTTAACCCTCCCTGGAGGTATTCCCGAGTGTAGCTCGGGGTAAATTTCAGCACCACAAGCGGTAACCCCCCGAGCTACACTCGGAATACACTGCAGCGCTGCTCCGGGATCTCTTCTGCACTTACCTTGTCCTGCGCTCCCACGATGTCCCCCCTGCAGTGTCCCCTGTAATGTCTTCCGGCCGATGCCGGCATCCGTCTTCCGGGTTCCGTTCCCTGCAACGTCAGGACATACGGGGGATGGAACTGGCGGGAAATTAGAAAATTGTAAAAGTGACATTCACTAAATACACTAAAATCACATAGTATAACATTCCTGTATCAAACCATTTCACATACATTTTGTCCCGAGTGCTTTGTCCGGCGCCCTGCCTGCATTTTTACTGTTCTTTCTGCCTGGAAACTGAGAAACGTCCATGGCGTCCAAAAAGCGTCTCTTTAGGTCAAAAGCGGTTTTAGACCGGCTAGAGAACAGCGATAGTAAATCAGAACCACTTGCAGAATTGAGTGATAATGATTCGTGGGGGAAATTCCTCATCAGACACTGAAAACGATTCTGCGACTTTGCTCAGCGATGTGCGAACTTGGAGCTATATTTCAAATGTCAGTGTTTTTGGTTTGGTTATATTATTGAATTAAATGTATTATTATTATATTATTATTTTTTATGATTATTTATTAAATTATAATTTATGATTTCGTGTTTCAAATTTTATCCTACCCGGGATCAGGGGCGGACTGACAACTCATGGGGCCCCCGGGCATTAGGGGATCATGGGGCCCGTGTCCCAAACTCAAAAAAGCCTATGAAAGAGGTACCAGGGGCATCTCATGGGGCCCCCTACTGACCCCAGGCCCTCGGGCAGTGCCCAAGTTTCCAAATGGTCAGTCCGCCCCTGCCCGGGATGTTTACTAGACTCTTGTTCGGATAGATTTCAGTGAGTTATTCCTAAAAATGAAAGGCCTACAATAAAAAAAAATACATATTTCCATGCAAAAAAATGTACCGCTTTGAGCACAGAAATATGGCATAATCAGACCGCTAGGGAGGTTAAGTTAACAACACCCCAAAATCGGTCCGCAAAATGCAGTGCGATGTGCAGAATTGGATCGCATAGGTGTGAATACCCATGCGATCCGATTCTAGTGCGCCCAAAAAAAGAGAATGATCATCGGGAGATCTCGCTGTTGGAGTATCCAAATCCTATAAGAAGCCAGGGGGGCTGATTTAGACCACGAGGCTCCACCAGTAACTAAAATCTAAAATATCACTTTTGAGTGGACTGGCCCTTTAAGCGTCTGCCATTATGAATACAGTCCTCATGTACTTATATAACTATTAGGCCCTGTAGCTTTTTACTAATTGGGCGACGTTTCATGGCAGCCTCTCCAGATTGCTCAAGGACGTCCCTGATAATTGCACCGGCAGGAGCTGGCCAGCGCAGCCAAAACAAAGCAAGCCATTGAAGCGGAGGCTGAAGCGATCTCTTTCTTCCTGCCATTGTGCTGTCAGACCTCCCTGTGTCACGCTGGCTATTTTTTGCTCTGTGTAACTTGCACCCCTGTATTGTTAAGAAACAGCATCGCTGTGCACTTTGGCTGCGAGCAAATCTCAGCAAGCCTGCTGATGGCCCTCCCACCATCACTTCCCCTCGCTGAAGTTGACACCTGAATGAATGCCAAGCCCCCCCTGACTATATAAAGCCCAGGCATTTCCAGGCAAGTTCACAATCCCAAGGCAGGAAGGCGAACCATTTAGATCCAGGCACCATGCTCATCTCTCCCCTCCAGCGCTGCCTCTTCTACCTCTCCTGCATCCTCTTTAAAAGCTGCTTGTCCTTCAAGAACGATGGCACGGAGATCCTCTACTCCCATGTGGATAAACATCTGCTGCACGCCACCAACAGCAGCTCCATCAACCAAGCCCGCAACGGGGGCAGACACCCACACTCAACTCGCCCGTGGACAGAACGAGTGAGTATCCCTTTAATTATGTTCCTTATCGTTGTTTTTGGGTTCTTCAGTTTTCGAGGGCGATTCGTACTAGTTCGTACGTGGCGATATTTTAAGTCGAATTACAGGAACATGTTGCTACTGACCTGGTGTAGTTCTATTGATGAGTACAGTAGACATATAAAAACATAGAAGAGTGATGTCAGAAAAAGATCAAGTGGTCCATCAAGCCTGCCCCTTTTTATATATTTATTGTTTGCATCTTCGGTTATTGATTCATTTTTTGCCTTTTTTTAAACCTATTTGGATATAGATCGATCTTTATTGTAAGCATGTTTAAATTCTCTTTTAGTTGATTGACCCACTACCTCTGCTGGAAGTCTGTTCCAAGCATTGACTACTCTTTCAGTACAATAATATTTTCAAAATTTCCTTGTGTACTTTTCTCCTGGTCATGTCCCCGCTGTTCTTCATCATGTCCCCATTGTTCTTGATCGTCACTTCATATTGAAAATTCTGTCCTCCTGAACCTTATCCATACCCTCAATGTATTTAAAGGTTTCAGTCTTTCTCTTCTTTCCTTGAAGCTGATCATACTACGTTCTACCAGTTTCTCCTAATATGTTTTATCTCTCAGACCTTTCACCAATTTTTGGTGCCGATCTCTGCGCTCTTGGTAGACCTTCGCTTCATACTGAAAATGATGCCCTCCGAAACCTTATCCATACCCTCAATGTATTTAAAGGTTTCAGTCTTTCTCTTCTTTCCTCGAAGCTGATCATACTAAGTTCTACCAGTTTCTCCTAATATGTTCTATCTCTCAGATCTTTCACCATTTTTTGGTGCCATTCTCTGTGCTCTTGGTAGACCTTAGCTTCATAATGAAAACTGTCCTCCTGAACCTTTTCCACACCCTCAGTGTATTAACAAATTTCAGTCTTTCTGTTCTTTCCTTGAAGTTGAACATACTAAGCTTCTTTCCTCGAAGCTGATCATATTAAGTTTTACCAGTTTCTCCTAATATGTTTTATCTCTCAGACCTTTCACCATTTTTTGGTGCCGATCTCTGCGCTCTTGGTAGACCTTAGCTTCATACTGAAAATGATGCCCTCCGAAACCTTATCCATACCCTCAATGTATTAAAAGGTTTCAGTCTTTCTCTTCTTTGCTCAAAGTTGAACATACTTCATTCTACCAGTTTCTCCTAATATGTTTTATCTCTCAGACCTTTCACCATTTTTTGGTGCCGATCTCTGCGCTCTTGGTATACCTTTGCTTCATACTGAAAATGATGCCCTCCCAAAACTTATCCATACCCTCAATGTATTAAAAGGTGTCAGTGTCTTTCTTCTTTCCTCAAAGCTGATCATACTAAGTTCCACCAGTTTCTCCTAATATGTTTTATCTCTCAGACCTTTCACCAATTTTTGGTGCCAATCTCTGCACTCTTGGTAGACCTTAGCTTCATAATGAAAATGATGTCCTCCTGAACCTTTTCCACACCCTCAGTGTATTAAAACATTTCAGTCTTTCTCTTATTTCCTTGAAGTTGAACATACTAAGCTCTTCCGGTTTATCCTGATATTGTTTATCACTCAGACCTTTCACCGTTTTTTGATGAAAGGTCTCTAGACTCTTGGTAGACCTTCAAAACACCATTCCTAAAATATGATACTTTAGCCAAAGTTCCAGGGGGCAGTGTGTTCCACAGCAAAGTGTCTTGGTAAACATTTAGAACAAGATATTTTTTTTTCTGAGAATGTTTAAATTCATTGTTGTTTGACTCACCACCTCTGCTGGATGTCCGTTCCAAGCATCAGCTACTCTTTCAGTAAAATAATACCTTCTAAGATTAGTTCTGAACTTTCCTACTGCTAGTTTGAAGTCATGGCTCGTGTTCTTAATTTTAGTTTCATATTAAAAATACTGCCCTCCTGAACCTTATGCATACCCTCAATGTATTAAAAGTCACGTCCCCCTTTTCCCTCCTGTCTTTGAGACTGGACATATTAAGTTCCTCCAGTCTCTCCTTATAGATAATCCCTCAGACTTTGTATTTTGGTGCCGATATCTGGACTCTTGGTACACCTTCAGGACACTTTATTTAAACAATGTGGCATTTTAGTGGCATTATTCCCAGGGATGATTTGCCTCCAAACCTGGCATTTATCAACATAATGCCTTGGTGGACCTTCAAGTCACTATATTTCAGTATAGGTCTATGCTTATCCAAAAGAATTTTATTTTTTTATTTAAATTCACTGTCTCACTACCTCTGCTGGAAGTCTGTTCCAACCATCAACCACTCTTTCTGTAAAACAAAAATGTTTAAACTTTACTCTTGAACTTTCCTCCTCCTAGTTTGAGTCATGTTACTCTGCTCTTGGTCTTAGTTTCATACCTTATTCACACTCCTTCATACCTTATTCACACCCTCGATGTATCATGTAATTTTCTATCGTTCCTCGAGGCTGGACATAGTGTTTATCATTCAGACCTTTTACCATTCTTGGGTTTAATCCCTCAGACTATTCAGCATTTCATAATATTATCCTTCAGACCTTTCACCATTCCAGAGTTTATATCCCTTAGACCTTTCACCATTCCAGAGTTTATATCCCTTAGACCTTTCACCATTCCAGAGTTTATATCCCTTAGACCTTTCACTATTCCAGAGTTTATATCCCTTAGACCTTTCACCATTCCAGGGTTTATATCCCTTAGACCTTTCACCATTCCAGGGTTTATATCCCTTAGACCTTTCACCATTCCAGAGTTTATATCCCTTAGATCTTTCACCATGCCAGGGTTTATATCCCTCAGACCTTTAACCATTCCAGGGTTTATATCCCTCAGACCTTTCACCTTTCCAGGGTTTATATCCTTCAGACCTTTCACCATTCCAGGGTTTATATCCCTCAGATATTTCACCATTCCAGGGTTTTTTATCCTTCAGACCTTTCACCATTCCAGAGTTTATATTCTTTAGACCTTTTGCCATGCCAGGGTTTTATCCCTCAGACCTTTCATCCAAGGGTTTATCCCTCAGATCTTTCACCATTACAAGGTTTATATCCCTCACACCATTCACCATTCCAGGGTTTATATCCTTCAGACCTTTCACCATTCCAGGGTTTATATCCCGCAGACCTTTCACCATTCCAGGGTTTATATCCCGCAGACCTTTCACCATTCCAGAGTTTATATCCCTCAGATCTTTCACTATTCCAGGGTTTTTATCCTTCAGAGCTTTCACCATCCCAGAGTTTTATATCCTTCAGACCTTTGACCATTCCAGGGTTTTATCCCTCAGACCTTTCATCCAAGGGTTTTATCCCTCAGACCTTTCACAATTCCAGGGTTTATATCCCTCAGATCTTTCACCATTCCAGGGTTTATATCCTTCAGACCTTTCACTATTCCAGGGTTTTTATCCTTCAGAGCTTTCACCATCCCAGGGTTTTATATCCTTCAGACCTTTAACCATTCCAGGGTTTTATCCCTCAGATCTTTCACTATTCCAGGGTTTTTATCCTTCAGAGCTTTCACCATCCCAGGGTTTTATATCCTTCAGACCTTTGACCATTCCAGGGTTTATATCCTTCAGACCTTTCACCATTCCACGGTTTATATCCTTCAGACCTTTCACTATTCTGGGGTTTTATCCCTCAAACCTTTCACCATTTCTGATGCCAATCTCTGGACCCTCTCTCACACTTAGGAGACCTTTAGGACACTTTGGAAAATATTATACTTTAGTTCAAATCCCAGGGATAGTTTTTCGCCAAGCCTGTGTATTTATGAACATAGCGTCTTGGTAGACCTTCAGGTAACTATCTTTCAAAAAATATGACACTTTATCAAAATTCCAAGGAATGTTTTGCCCACCAAGACTGTGTATTCATCAAGATTGCGCCTTAGCAGACCTTAAGGACAGTATGTTTCGAAAATATAACATTTTTTTACTAAGCTAATCCTGATAACCTTTGGCTTTTGAAAAGGGGCTCATCGACAAACTTAAAAGAGTGTTAATAGATGGTACAATTTCAGGAAAAGAGAGATTGATAGCAAAAACGGTCAGTTTAGTAAATCAGGGGCATTTCCAGGGACAGATCCTCAGAACATGAAGAACTGGGACAATTGGTAGGTGTGCGTGTCTTTAATGAATGGACTCACTACCTAGAAGTAAGATGTGAGTGCTTGTGTCAAAAGTCTACAGAGCTAGTATGGGAGATGGATGACACCTGTCAATGGAGTAGAATCGATCAGAATTAAAAAAAATTGGGGAATTTCTGTGCATTGTGTGTGTATGATCAGCTGTATTTGGAAACCATTGACTTTGGTTTCTGCTGCAGAAGAGCTTGCAATCTAATTTCTGCACCCTACCATAATTATACATAAAATGGGCAATGACCTGACAGTTAGCCTGTTATAGGAAGTCAAACAGATAGCTCTAGGCATGCACTACATAGAACTCTTGCACAGCAAGTTGTTGCTACCAACCACTGAGCAGGTAACATTGTACCTAGAGATAATACCTGGGTTGGTGGACAGTTTGTGTTGTCCGTTGCTGTCACATGAAGGTAAGTCATGTGATTTCCTAGAGCCGTCTGTCTCAATCTTTTGATCCACAGAGGAAGCATTTAAATATTTTTCAGGTCTCAAGGAACCCTTGGTAAGATGAGTCTACTGGAGGTCATTGGGAAAATGCCCCTTGATGGGGGTAAGTAGGATTGGATGAATACCCTCCTTACAGGGGTGACCAGAAAGACACCCTTGCAGTCATGTCAGTGGCTCTGCCAAGTGGTTTTGGACCTGGAACTATGCAGGCACCATCAGATGGGAGGTCAGTTAGCCAAAGCTCAAGGAACCCCTAGCTATCCCTTGAGGAACCCTAAGGTTTCACAGAACCCTGGCTGAGAATGGCGGCCTTAGAGTGTACGGCTTTGGTTCCCAACTTACCACTAGGGGCCACATGGTACTTGCTATGTGGCACTTGGTAGACCTCAGCTGTCAGTACT